TCGCCACACTAAGACAACTATTCGGGAATTTGAAGCGGAATGTAAGCTGTTATTTCATTCATATATACTCAGAACTTAAGTCAATATTATTACAGATCCTTTCAGATCATACAAATTATCAACCCAGAGAATAGATTCATGGGTAGAGAAATGAACTAATTTTCCAAGTTCATACTTAGTATAAGTGTATAACACAACAACAACAACTATGTTTGGTAAACTGTGTGCGAAAAAAAAATCCAAACTTCTACCAAAATTTTTAGTCTTGCAAAAAAAAATTGGGTAATAACATGCACCAAGTGAGTGTTAATGTAATATTCTTTCATTAAATCATCATTATGTCATCAACAATACATAGATATAACAAATTAATTGAGGACAAACAGATACTGAAGGTGTCTGCTCTCAATCTCTCATTCCGATAATTTTACATGTTATTTTTCTAAAAATTATATAAATATTCCGATTAATTTACTACCTCAGATCATTTCTGAAAAGTCACCAGAGCAAACTTAAGTTCTCCACAATTACTTCGGATCTCACTCAAATTCCATGTCTGCTTAGATGCACAAGCACGGTAAATATGACTTAATCTGAAGTCTTCCATCTATATAATTTCATTGTCTTTCCAAATTTTAACCAATTTAAGCCTGGAGAAGGCCCCCATAACTGTAGCTCTTAATTCTTATATGATCACATAATGATATTTCTTCCATACAATCCAAGGAACTCATTTTCATCTGTAAAAGCCCAAGTTCCAGAAAAGGCCCCCATAAGGCGATAGGCATAGCTACTATATCTCTGTTCCAAGCATTTGTACTCTTCCCTCCCTGGATAATCAATGAATCTCTTCCTGGTAATATCTCTTTATAAAACATCTCCCGCCCCTGCTAGTCCAGACACCCCATTAAGCAGGTACAATATGCAGTCCTTCATCTTAAGAAGTGGAAAATAGAATCATTCCCTTCGAATCATATATATACTTTTCCTTCCTAGCCAGCCAAGCGAATTAGACTCAGGAGCTCTTGACTGACTCATCACTGAGCCTAAAGGGAGGTACAGTGGAGCAAGATAACGAAAGAAGAAAGAGAAAACACCTATATGTTGAGGGCCTTCCTTTGCAGGGGACCTCGACCAGAATTTGTTAGAGGGGACAGTAGTCTCACAACAAGGCGTGCATTTTACTGGAATGGAGATTTCAGATTCCTGACTAGCTGAACCTTATTTTGTTTTCAGTTTTTAATTGATAAGATTTCCTCTCTTTTTTCCCTTCTTTTT